ATAAACGTAGGCTGATGACCAGTCAGTTTTTTTCCCCTCTGAGAAGTGATAGTGTGACTCATTTGTAGAGACTTGTGAGTTCTTGCTCACCTCTGCCACCAGTTGTGTGCTGTCAGAGAGCTATCTGTCTCCTGCTTCATTCCAGGAGCATGCTCACCCAGTCACTCATGTGCATCACCGTTCCAGCCCCATCTCTGTCCCTCTCACTTAGCATGACAATATCACCAAATGTCAACTTGTGCGCTCTCTCTCTCTCTCTCTCTCCTTCTGTCTTCTGTCGCTCTCTTCATGCACTTTTGAGCAAAATGTGCTCTCCTCATCGTTACACAGCCACCCCATGGTCTCACTGGCAGCCTCACTCACCCTGTGGTCCAGTCAGTGTTTGTGTAAGTCGATGTGCACGTCTGATGTAGACACAGCCAGATCTCACTCATTCCTTTGTCTTTTCCCTTTTTCCTCTTCCTCTCACAGGAATGAGGGAGCACCCGCCCATTCCTGTCATTGACCTGGCTGACCACATAGAGCGACTGAAGGCCAATGACGGCCTCTGCTTTTCCCAGGAGTATGAGGTAAGGGCCCTGCATTGATATTACATCGGAATGTGTTGCTTTGTTAACATTGTGTCTGGAGAGGAAGTTTTGTGTTTATGCCTTTTTGATCACATTTGCATGTATTCTAATGGATTATTGAAGAATTTTTTTCACAGACGTTCTTCAGTCATTTTTACAACTCTATTACCAATCCCACCAGGAAACCAACACTTAGATTAAATGCTGCGAGATGCTTTTTCACAAAACTAGCAGGTGGCGTGTTGCTTAAGAAATCTGTGTGTGTGTCTTGATGTTTCCCAGAAGAATGTTATTTTGCAGGCGGTCTCTCCGATGCAGCTCGGTGAGGGATTATCTCTTGTCGGTGTTCTTTCTCAAAAAAAGAAAGAACAAAATTTGCATTTAAAGTAGCACATAGTTGATTCGGGGACTAAGCGAGGCTAGATGAAGAGGAGAGGCATCCTTGAATACAGAAAAACAAGAGCTGTCTTTTATTTATTTGTTCTGATTGTTCAATCTGTTTTGTCTAATCAGCTCTATTTCTCACATTGATAGATCCAACAAGGCTGTTTACCTTCACCATAACCTAAAAGGTTATGTGATTGCCTCCGTTTGTCTGTGACCAGCATATGCTGCTACAGCATGAATTTTGCAGTGTGATTTCAGACTCTGGAGAGAAACACCTGATTTATTTTGGTGGCCTTGTGACATTTCCCTGAGAATCACCACGAGCTCAAAGTTTAGCCAATATTTTTATAATGTTCTGTCATCTGCCCTTTCCACTGTTTACTGTGAAAATATCATTAATTTTACAAGTTTTATATAACTGTTCTATCATCTACCCAGCAGTGTTGCCCAAATGTAGGAAAAACAAACTTTACCACTGTGTAGGGCTTCATCTCATGTGTATGCACTTTGTCTTACATTGTTGGCCATGCTCATTCACATTTCATGTTTTTTCTAATTGTTACATTCCTACCTAAATTACTAACTAAATCTAACTAAACTAAAACATTTTTTAAAAGTATAGTCTTGTATGAAGGGGCCATTTTAATGTTTGACAAAACATACATTATGTGTTTGAATGCATAGTTGAACATTCTGTGATATGGTATATAATTCTCAGCAGTCGACACTGTTGAAGTCCTTCACTGTGAAATTAAAAGTTAACTGGGGAGATAATTAGACCTTGGTAAAAATCTGCACTCAATTAAGTGCTTTTTTGTGTTGCCCAGTGCCTCTCCAGCACATCGCCCTCCCGGCCTGTTCAGTTAGTGTCAACAAATCAAGCCCAGAGAAGTGACTTGTATGACTGCAGGCAACCAGCCTGGCCCCAGTCCCTCCTCACCAGTCATTCCAAGCCAGGGAAGACCCCCTCTGTGGCCCAGCAGATGGCCACCCGTCTCTCTGCTAGCCGAGGCACAGTGGCAGAGCTCATGGCGGTTTGTCACAGTCACGTTCGCCACCTGCTCTCATTGCGCCTTATCCCAAGGCACAGAATTTGTAGAGGCATCACTACTTCCTCTCCCTGATATTTTAGGGGGGCTAAGACTTCCTATACCACCATCGTCAGTCCATATCACACTGAGCAAGGAGTGCACTGGCTAATGAGCAGAATTTGTCAGTCAGACATGCTGCAGCTCCCCCTGGCACTCTTTTTATCGCAGGAAGCAATATCACGCTGCAGTCGTCACAGCACTATCATTATGTTCATTTGAAAGCATTTCCAGTGTGTCAGGGAGAATACCTGGGGCGTTTGCTTCTCACCTCTTTCTACCATTTCTACTTTACTTGTTTTCTAGTTGTCATCAGTCTAGTGTGCCTGCTGTGTTCACTGAGCTCTCAAATGGATATGACAAGTTTTGACTGCAAATGAAATCTTTCTGTTCATACTGGCGGTCACAGACGGCAAAATTGGCTGTGCTGAGCTCATCAGCAGCAATAGGTCTGTGCCCACATGACTTTCACTGTTGAGCAATTTGGTTTCTTGCTTATGAGCACAACACATTTTTCATATCTTGTTCAGAATCAAATAACATGCGCAGTACATGGCTTTCTATGGAAACTAAAATAGTCTGGTCTAAAATACATGCTTTATAACTTTTATGGCATATTATTACCTGTGTAGATACCACTTTAATCTACAGGACAACATAATCAGAGCTAGGAAGTTACTGTTGTTGACAGATAGCAGCTGAAATCTGATTCGCTGTACCTGCAATTTACAAATTAACTGACAGTATATTAATTTTTATAGTAAGGCAAATCACACCTGCCTCATGTGTAGCTTAGCACAACACTCACCATTTTATGGCCCAGGATCTTCAATGTCCTGCAATGATTGTCCTGTTCAATAATTATGATCGTTATGTTTCAGCTGTCAAGTTTTGACATACAGTAACCTCTGATAATTAAATTAGTGCCACAGAAATGTTAGGCACAGAAGTGAATGATTTTCGAAGTTGTTGTTGTGACTTTTGCTGGATTTGCAAGGCGAAAGGTCTGGGGAATCGGTGGACATGGTTCTGGTGTGCCCTGACGGGGATCGATACGGAATAACAAGAGCCTTTGTGACATTATTGAGCCAAGGGATGGGAGGCCGTCACACATCTCCCCAGATCAATAGCTATGCAGTCTACTGCTGTCTTAGCCTGCGAGACGAATGACGTAGAAGGTAGAGACAGAGTGAAAGGAAAACAAAAATACAAGAAAGAAAAATGCGACAAAGAGAATATGAGGAAAGACAGGATGAGAGTAATCATGGCAACTTCAAGTTGTCATGCAAGCGACTTTTCAGAATTAGGTGATTCAATAGGGCCACCCTACTAGTGTTTGTGGTTGCCTGCAGGCTTCAGCAGCTCTCAGCTAAAACTTTCATTCTCATCATTATGGGTTTAGAACTTGGAGCAATATGTTGGCTCAGTGTTTGAGTGATGGCCTTTTTTTGGTCAGTTTGAATCAAAACTAAATGCCTATATATTTCTGTGTCATTAACATTCAAGACATCAGATGTCGTGCATTTAATTGACCTGTTAATGCACCAACAACTACTGCAGCAATATGGTGCTTTGTTAAATGATATACTCAGCCTGCACAATGTCCTACACAGTATAAAACCATTTACCTGTAGAGGGATATGATGTGGGTACAGGTTCCATTTAAAGGCTTTGTTGTCCGTAGCATACTGCTGTTGAATGAATGATGGTGGACAACAAGGTAATTTGGCCCTATTTCTTTCCACGTTATACCCAAGAGCCTCTGTTTGAGCTTCTGTTTACTTTTTTTTTACTTTCCTTTGCTCTGTGTCTCTCTGTCCACTTTATTGTAATGACTCTCTCTCCATCTTTGTGTCCTTTTTTCTCTTTTCTTTCCTTCCCTCACCCACAGTCTATTGATCCAGGCCAACAGTTTACCTGGGAGAACTCCAACATGGAAGTAAACAAGCCAAAGAATCGCTATGCAAACGTCATTGCCTATGACCACTCCAGAGTGGTGCTCACCTCTGTTGATGGTAAGAGCGTGTGTAACTACTTAACCCCTCAGATAGCCATTGACTGAGGCTGCCATCGATCAGGTACCAAGGACATTTTGGTTGCCTGCATCTGCTGCTTTAGATACTGTATCTCCAGTTTGATCCGAAAAGCCCATGCACATTTTTTGCTTTGAGATGGTGTCAAAATATACTTGAAGTATCAGAAGTAAAAGTACTCATGCAGAACAGTACATTTCACAGTAATGTATATTATTGGATTATAATTATTGATGTATTGTTGCCTTCATCACTGCAGCAAGTGGAGCTAATGCTTATATGCAGGGATCAATAAAGTTGATTATACTGTATTTTGCATTATTATTCTGATTTTGAAATGTAGCTACATTAAAAACATACATGTAGTGGAGTAAAAAAATACAATATTTGCTTCTGAAATGTGGTGTGAAGTTCAAGTATGAAGTAGCAGAAAATGGAAATACCCAAGTAAAATACAAATATCTCCAAAGTCTCCTTAAGTATAGTAATTGGTTAAATGTTCTCAGTTACTTTCCTCCATTGCTGTGTACAGTACGTGAGTATCCTCACTGCTTCTCTTTCTTACAGCTGTTCCTGGCAGTGACTACATCAATGCCAACTATATTGACGGCTACAGGAAGCAGAACGCTTACATCGCCACACAGGGCCCGCTGCCCGAGACCCTGAGCGACTTCTGGAGGATGGTGTGGGAGCAGAGATCCAACACCATTGTCATGATGACCAGGCTGGAGGAGAAGTCACGGGTAAGGGAAGACGCTGTGTGATTCACTTTAAAATGCTGCCAAGTGTAGAAATCAGGGAATTCATTTCTTTACAGTCAAGTTCTTATGATGCATCGATTTACTGATCTTCATCCTCAAACATGTAATAATATATACTGTAGAATTAATAATAACCAAAATAAAATTTATAATACACTGCATTACTATAGGCTAAATAATTTAACTGCAAATAATAAGCCATTAATAGTAAGGATTACTTTATAATAAAAATCCATAATTACATTTTCCTATTGTTAAAATTCATCAGAACACATTTGCATGCAGCAGACTGTGGTAAAGTAGTTACCACACCAACCAACAGATGGCTGCTGTGAATCAGGAGAGCTGCCATACTAGGAGGAAATCAAACGACTGCTGTGTAATACTTCAGACCACTGAAGTCGACAGTGTGATGACAGGCAGTCAACACTGTTGAAACGTAAAATGTGGAAGGTTGAAAAGGATTTTCCTGACATACTGTATACATAGTGTATATATATTTGTGTAGCTTGACATTGGGGAAATACAGTAACATTACACACAGCTACGCCTGAAGGCATATAGACACTGAGTCCAGGATTTGTCAGTCTGATCAAAGAACTTCAAAGGATATTTTGGTTTTCTTGTGACAGTATCACTTCATGTTACTTCTCTGAGTCTTCAACAATCTTTAAAAACTTGTTTGTGAAGTAAATTGAAACAACAGCTTTTTACCATTTCCAGTTTTCCCTCCTGTTGTTTGTTTACCACATATGATGAAGTTACTGTGGCACTTTTGCATATGATGAAAACATGTGCACACCCTCTACAGAAAATAAAACATTTTTCAGCCAAATTATGAACAGCCATCCATTGTCTATACCACTTATCCTGTAGAGGGTCACAGGGGGCTGGAGCCAATCCCAGCTGACATTGGGTGAAAGGCGGGGTCCACCCTGGACAGGTCGCCAGTTTATCACAGGGCTGACACTTAAAGACAAACTTCCACGCTCACTCCTACAGGCAATTTAGAGTCACCAGTCAACCTAAGCTGCATGTCTTTGGACTGTGGGGGGAAGCCGGAGCACCTGGTGAGAACCCACACAGGGAGAACATGCAAAGTCCACACAGAAAGGCCCTGAACTGGGCGGGGCCCGAACACATGCCCCAAAATATGAACATGTACATGTAGTGTATTTGTACTTTGAGATTCATAATAAGGCAAATTATCTTTCATTCACCGTGTAGAAAATTCTCAGAGTTCAATACTTGATTGCTACATTTTTATTTTTGTAACACCATGCCAAGGTTTCAAAGACAGTCTCTCGTTTGTGTTTGTACTTTCTGAACTTGGCCCATAAAAGTCACGGCACTATAATAAAGCTCTGAAGTTGGAGTTAAGAGGATTGCACCTCGGCAACATCCGTGCACTCCTAGAAATACCTTCAACCCAATAAAAGAGAAAAGGCAGTGCACGGGCATCTTGAGATCTAAAATTGAGATGAGATTATTTAATTAACATCACAAAATTATGCTCATAAATTCCTGGGAGGATATAAATCTGTGTATGTGGTGCTTTATTAGTGTGTGCATATGGCACTCTAATAAAAGAGAGCCTACAGACTGAGAACTAGAAGGAACAGGGAGTGTAAATGAAAGAGGTTTTTTTTCTGAAATCCTAGACATTGATTTTTTGGGGGGTGAAAAAATCATTACATGAAGCTCAGTTCAGTAAGTCTGTAAAAAACCAATCCTCTTGTCAGGTTAAGACTTAAATTACTTAGCCATCCTCCAAATCATACTATCATCTGTTTTAATTTTGAGATATTGATTTAATCAGTCATTTAGGCAAATTGTGAGCACACTGTGTCTTATTTGTACATTGGAGAGTAACTGTAGCATAGTTGTGTTTGATCATTTTTATTACAGCCAGTCCCATACAGAAACAGGGACAAAATAATGGAAACATAAGGAACTTGATGAGAAATGAAACAACCCCTCAGCATGTCAACTGGCTTTCCAGTACTATGGAAAGAGAAAAAGAACCACATCTTCCACCAGCTGTGGGTGGAAACAGCTTTGCCCCCTTACAGTACATCAGACTATCTCTAGATCTTTGGCATGACATCATTAAATGGGGCAAAGGGAGTTTTGGGGCAGCAGTTAGATTTCCAACCCAGGAAAGAGTCACTAACTCCAATCTCCATTCCATGAGTCTCCAGAAACGTTCGTTCCATGTGAATGAATATATTAACACCTACAAAAACAGTTTTTGTTTGCATTAATACAGTACATGTATTATTTTACTCTTTAAACTCTAGCATATAGAAATTACAGTTACAGCCCTCACTATACATCAAAGTAAATGTTTAGTTAAATAACAGTTAGCAGTGTAATATACATGCCTGTCACTATTGATAAATTACAATGCAGTATAGGGCAGCTAACAGTGAATTGAATTGATTTAATTACCTCTGCATTGGAAATTACATTATTTAGTAAGTGGCAGAGTCTTGGAAATGCGATTAGACTACAACCAGTGTCCAGTTGATAATGAATAGACATTTCATAAGATCATTACAAAACATCCCAAAGAGTCAGCTACGCTCAGATTAGGTAGATGTTATTGTTACATTTTCAGGGATTTTTGTTATTTTGTCCGGCCCCTTTAAATAGATACACATCATCTCTTTGTCTATTTCTCTCTCACACACACACACACACAGACAAACACATATGGCGAGTGAGTCAACCTCCTACCACCCAGACAGCCCGAAGTCTTATGCCAAACAGAGCAGGAGCTCGACAAATATGATGAGATCCGGCAGCAGGCAAATTTTAGCTTCCTCTGTCACTATCATTGCCAGTTAGTAAAACTTTAAAAGGTCAGTAAATGAAATGAGACCTGAGGTATTGGTCACGTGTGTTCGCATCTTGAAAAGAGGTCTCTGTCCTCTGCAAAAGGCCAGGTGACAACATGTGAGAAGCAAGGTTCAAAGCAGATGATAGCGAAACCTGTGTCTGTATGTGTGTGTCTGTGTCTGTATCTGTTTGTGTGTGTGTTTGTGAGGGAGATCTTGCCACCCAACCTGAGACAGCACAGAGATATTCATTACATGGTGACTGCTAATCCATATGTTTGTACTGCAAGCGGTTCCCTATCACTCAATTGAGTTTCTCCTGCAAGATTTACCTCTGTCTCTGAATGGGAGCTGTCATCAGGGGAGGTGAAGTGTGAGGGGGCGAATTTTTGTGCGTTTTGCTTGTCGATTTGTACCAGCTCACCAAGACAGCCAAGGTGCTTCGAAATGTCAGCTTGGTACTGCAGTATCAATATGATTAGCTTACCCGTGCCACAGCTCTTCCTCTTATGTTATTCAGATCAATAGCAGCAAGCTCGAGTCCCAGCTACTCTGTCATTAAAACAGTGCCTGTATTTGTTCGGTTTCTATATGGAAAATAAAGAGTATAGCAGAGTTTCATGCTTCTCTGAAATGACACATTATACCCAGGCTCTTTTAAAATGTTTAGGGTTTTTTTTTTTTTTTTTACTCATGCTCTTTTGCAGTATCACTGATTGAAGACACACGCTAGTTGGAGGACTTAGGGCTGCTAGGGACTTAACCTGCCACACAGAGTACAAGTCACAAAGTCTTCAGGTGCTCCCATTTTAGTCTTGAAAACAAGACTTTACAGACCCCAGAAGCAGGAAGAAAGATCAATCAGCTAGCTACACTATGCCAGTTGTTTAGATAATGGTAGGACTCATCACCTCAAGAAATTTGCAGACCTTGTTGAAAACCTTTTAAATTAGCAGTAAAAAGAAGTGTGATTGTATAACTGAATGGCCTTTTTTATTCTAAATTATTCTGAAGTAGTTTAGTACAAATGTTCCCAGTATTTCCAGAAATGACATGTTATTATTGCTGTTTGAAAACCAGAGCCAAATTCTAATTACAGCACTTCATCAGTCTGGTGAGGAAGGGTTCACATTGATGTCTGAGTGAAGAAGAGGACTGAAGTCCATCAGAAGTTCTAGTCTAACGCCAACTGAGCTGAGCCAAACCACAAGGAGTAAAGTGAAAATTGTAGCTAAGGCATAGATGCACAGAGTGAAGCAAAGCCACTCGGTGCCAGCGGATCATTAGCCTCACAGTGATGGCAGACACACTGAAGTTTGTTCTATGCACATATGGAGCCAGGTGGCTGAACATGCTGTCCCACCACCACAGGCCACAACAGCCTTTTAGACACATCTCCGTCCACAATGCAGCACGCAATCATGACAAATGTGCCAAAAGCATATGCGACAAGAGGTTAAGAACCACACTACAATTAACTAATTGAAAATGATCACAGCTTGGAAAAAGACAACGTGGGCTTTTATTGCCCTTTGAAGCAGACACATGGATGCATGTGCACATGCCTGATTCACTGATGCTCATTTTTTGTGAGGTACAAGAGCTGACTCTGACTCTTCAGTTTTTAATTAGAGAGTGGGCAAAGCTTTTGATCTGACCTCTCTAATGTTCCCTTCTTGTTAATCAGTGTGGTTCTATGAGCCTTCCACTTGCCTCTAGTGGATGTTACAGGCAGTTCACTCCTGATAGTGTGCCTTCTCTCTTGCTCTGCCAGGTAAAGTGTGACCAATATTGGCCTTCGCGAGGAACTGAGACCTATGGGATGATCCAAGTCACCATGCTGGACACTGTGGAGTTGGCCACTTACAGTGTCCGTACTTTCGCCCTCTACAAGGTACACCACTACCTTTTTCATTTTCAGTTAAGTATAGCGAGGTATGGTCTTGAAGGACATGTTCCCAGCAGGTAATTGCGGTTCATCATTACTGGGGTCACATTTTAGAATGTAATTTATTTTTCTGAAGACTGATAAAGGCTATTACCACTGGAATAGTTTTTTTTTTCACTACTATAATTGGTTTTTAACATCCAAGATTTGTCTCTTCTCCTCTAAAGGCAATGAAAGATTTAATTTTTTCACTTTGATTCATATACTTCAGTCCTGTGGTGATGTGACTGATGTTTTGTCCTTTATTTCTCCTCTCCCAGTTCTTTTCCCATTACTTACTTAAAATTTAGATCATTGCTATAATTTCAAATTAAATGTAAGTTTCCAGCTAAAGGAGTTAACTTGGTTTCAATCAGAACTGGTAACAATGCCTGAAAAATGTTCCAAATGTATGCACGTTATCTACACTTGCATAATAATCACAGCCATGAACGTGCACCATGTTATATGCTGCTGTCAAAGTTATGAGTCAGCTTGAGTCCTTGCTTAAAATAGTTCCATTTCTGACCATTTAATCATTTGTACTTTTCAAATTTTAACTGTAAAATTTCAGCTCTCTTTGATTCAAATAGCGACCTATGTGTTTCAGACATTTTCCCTGGCATGACAAATTTCTCTTTTAAAGAGAGCCAATTACAGTTCACTGTGTCAGGCTTACACCTTTGTACTAACCTCCTCCTCTGATGCGCCTGCAGAATGGCTCCAGTGAGAAGAGAGAGGTGAGACAGTTCCAGTTTATGGCCTGGCCAGATCACGGGGTGCCAGAGTACCCCACACCCATCCTGGCCTTCCTGCGACGGGTAAAGGCTTGCAATCCTCCAGATGCAGGGCCCATGGTGGTCCACTGCAGGTAGGTGCACACGGAAATGGGCTTAATTTGTTTTCATACAGGAACTGAAGTGGTTCTTGTCTTCTTTCTTTAGATCATTATGCGCACCAATAATTGTTTGAGTTATGTTGTTCTTGTTTTATTGTACTGTTTTCAATTTGTCATTACATCTACTCAGAAATGTCTTTCAGTACCCTGAAAAGCAAAATGTGTTAAATAAATAATTCCATTCTAACATTAAAATATTTTAATAGAAAAAAAAAATTATGCACATATATAAAACATAATTATTAGCTGTAGTGTCAATGCGACAGTTAAAGGTTTTGCCATTCGAAAAGGTAGGTAAGAACATGGATGTGTTACCACGTGCCACAAAAATGTTGAAATCTAGTTTTTTGTTGTTTTTTTTCTTACCCCCTGAATAAGGCTCAGTAATTCTATACACATATTCCAGCCAGTCATCAAGCATCTCAGGATGCCCCTACAGTCACAAACACTGCACACTGTTCACAGTCTGCAGCACCTGTTTCATTATGGTCCAGCTCTTGTGCTAGAGGGTGTAAATCAGCTAACCTGGAACGCATAATGTCCAGCTTTCATCTGTTGAGCGTTGAGAGAGAACATAATATGTTGGGGACTTTGCATTACAATGCTGTACTGTAATACTATACAGTGAAACATCAAGCTCGTTAACCCTCCACTGTCTCTGTCTCTCTCCATCAGTGCTGGCGTGGGCAGGACTGGCTGCTTCATCGTGATCGATGCCATGCTGGAGCGCATGAAGCACGAGAAGTCTGTAGACATCTATGGCCATGTGACGTGCATGCGCGCCCAGAGGAACTACATGGTCCAGACCGAGGATCAGTACATCTTCATCCACGAAGCCCTGCTGGAGGCCGCCACCTGCGGCAACACTGAGGTGCCAGCTCGAAACCTGTACGCCCACATCCAGAAACTCACCCAACCTCCACCCGGCGAGACGGTTACTTCCATGGAGCTGGAATTCAAGGTGACTGATATACACACCTCGGACAAGTATCACTTAAGGCTCTATTATATTACTTATTCAGTGTCAAATAATTAACTTCTCGCTTTTACAGTGTTGTCTTTGATTCCTACAGGATGTAATGAAGCATTTAACTAAACAAGGCATTTCAGAACTGTTAATTTATAGTGGACTGTGGTGTTCACAGGGGTGACTGTACAAGAAGTGGTGTGAGTTTTTGTTAATAATTACCAGGAGATAGAAACATGTTGCCATTCTGCTTGTTTTTCTCAATCTCCTCTGATCTGCAAAGCAGCAGGCTGCACTCGCTCTTTCATTGTCTAACATCAACCAATTGAAGGCAGACGGCAGTAGCTGACCTTCTGTGCACTGTGTCGCTATTGTGCAAGATTTACGCAGAGGTTCAAACACCCACACAAGTCAGTGTTGGAAATAATCAATTCCAAAGCACAGAAATTTGTATTGCTGAGATGTCACAGCAGCTAGCACAGTAGCATCGGTGCATACGGATGCGTGACAGCAACAAACAGATTACAGCAACCGCACACCAACACATCAACACACCTACACATTGAGAATTACAAACTGAGTGACACTCATACATACATGCACACAGCTGGTATTCAAGGTGACTCACCCGCACACTCACTCCTT